TCCGAAAAAAACCAAAAAACCGAAAAAACCGAAAGAACCGACTAAAACCGAAACGGAAAAAACTGACTTTGCGTGGTTTGATTTGATATTTAGATTTAATAAACCGACATAATTGGTTTAGGTTTTTTTAATGAAAAACCAAACCAAAACCGACCTATGTACACCCCTACTTCTAAGTCATCAAGAATCATGATTGAGTTCAAAGGCTTAGTTTTTTCTTGTATTTTATTTTGTTAGCTTTTCGAAGAAAGGAGCAATTTAAGTTATGATAATGGAGGTTTTTTTTCCAAACATGAAGAACAATAATAAAGAAGAAGACAATTGAGTTAAAATTTATCTTTTCCAAGTTTATTTTAACACATGACCAATTTTTATTGATCAGTGCTGTCTAAAAGCTGCACCACGCGCTTAACATAGGTGAAATCACGGACTCAGCCACGTAAGCCGAAAAGTGGTAAACAATTAACTAAAAAATAAGTTCGAGGTAATAGGACCTTAGTAAAGGTTAGGTGTGTCTTAGGGATTTTGGGCATAGGCTGGGGGGTACTTATGCATTTTCCCTTTCTTTTAAAGCTTCAAAAGCTTGAACTTTTGTGGATTCCCATAGTGGAGTGTTAGGTTTTAATTCTAGATTCGAAAAATCTATGGTGGGAATATTAACCATTTGAAAGAAACAAAGAAGGAATTAAAGACTTCACAATGTGAATAAGTAGGGGGGGATAGAGAGTATATATAGACAAATAAATTAGCACTTGTATTTTAAAATTTGTACAAGACAAGTTATAAGAGACTAATACCTTGTTTGGATGGTTTGCTATGCACTGTATTGTACTATTAATTTAAATACAATGTTTATTTTGATTGTTACTTAAATTTATTGTATTGTATTATTCAAATTTGTTGTTAAATAACAATGAAAAATATCATTTTATGTAACGATCGATTTGGTGCTGATCGTGCCGTTATCTTAATATTTTTTTCTTGTTTTATCTCTACCTCTTATTTAATAATTTTAGGGAAAATGCATAAGTACCCCCCTCCCTCCAATCTATGCCCGAAATTCCAGAGACATACTTATACTATACTAAGGTTCTATTACCCCCCCCCCTCCGAAATTATTTTATAAATAATTTTCTACCCCTTTTCGATCTACGTGGCACTATTAATTTAATATTAATATTTTTTCATTGAAAACTTATGTTATATAAATAGGTAAAAATAAAGTTATGTATATATATGAATTATTATTTTTATCATTTCATTTTATTTGAAAATGTTATTAGTAGATATCTATTGAGTCGGGTCAGAACAAACATGTGTAGGCTAACTCAACTCTATTGTTAGTTTTTCATTGAAAAATTATGTTATATAAATAGGTTAAAATAAAGTTATGTATATATATGCATGGGTTCATTCAAATTTTCTTTGGCGGAAAATTATATTATGTTTATATGATTAAAATAATTTTTTAGGTATATACCGACACGTATAGGCTAATCAGGCTCTATTAGTGTATGTCAACGTGTATGACTTAAATTTAAATTAATTAGAACCTAATTAAACGAGTGTGTTCTGGACATCGGATGGTTAGAAATAGCCTAAGATCCGACATCAGATGGTTAAAAAATACCAAAGAAATAAAGCCTTAGAAAATTAATATACCATCAAGTACATTATACCAATAATGATCCGACAATTAATTAATGACCGTTAAATATATATATATATATATATAGAGAGAGAGAGAGAGAGAGAGAGAAAGTTAGCATATGTCCCTAAAGCTTATAAATTTTTTGGATTTTATGACAATTAATCAATATCGATAGAGCTTTAATACTTTTTTTTTAATGTGTATATTTAATGTTGTAAATTTACTGCAAATATGTAAATTTAAATATTGCGGATAACTGCACTTTTTGAAATTTCAAATAATACATAGGTGGCATCTTATTAATTAGTCACTTGGCAACTATTGAAATCTGTTCTTATCTTAAAAAATAACTACAAAATTTAAATTTTAAAAAGGTAACTAATACCAAGTGGCGATTCAGTATTTTGTTTTCACTTTAATTTAAAATTTAAATACATCTTTAATTGATTTTGGAAATTGTAAATTTTTAATTTTGAAACATAAATATTTTAATGTAATTATTTTTTTTGGTAAATTTTAGATACAGATTTTTAAAAAGTTAAAATTATTTTTTGAATTTTAGAATTGTTGAATTTTTGTGGTGCTGCTTTTTACTTTTTCTATTATTTTACTATATAAGAAGAGGGAATAAATATTTACCACAAGTCAACATGTGTTCCAATAAGAAGAGGGAATAATCAATATATTTATAAAAAGAAATGACATTTAAAATAAAATGGAGTGAGTATTGGTTTTTCAAAATGGAAAAGGACAAAACACATATAGAATTAAAAGACATAAAAAAAAAGTTGGTTTAACTCTCAAACATAAAAAGTAACAAATGTTATTAAAAACTTTAATGAAAAGTACTATAATTTACAATAAATAATAACTTAAAATATCTACAAGACAACAAAAAAAAAAGACTAATTTTTGTACTGCTTGTGTCACGTAAATTAGGATTGGGATGGTTTTAAAATTTTAATTTTGGTTATACATTATAAAATAGCCGAAAAATTGAATGATATAATTTTAAAAAAAATAACCGAATGAATCGTCATATCGATAACCCTAATGTTACTTCTACTCTGTTTATTTTTACTTAAATTTAGAAAGATATGCTTCATTTCTACCCTCAATCTTATCGCTACATTTATTTGCTATTTAAAATTGAAATTAAAAAGACAAATGACAAATAAGTTTCTATATTAGCTCACTTATGAGCAAAATATATTATAACAATCTTTACTATTTTTATAACAATACATAAACTATACTCCCTCCGTCCCATATTAGATGGGCACTTCCAACTTTACACGGTGATTAAGAAATCATTAATACATTGGAAGACTTCACCATTTTGCCCTTTCTTTATATCAATGCACATTGAAATGAGTTACAAAAAATACACATACAATATAGGAATGGTCATATTAATTGTAGGGGTAAAATGGAAAAGAATTAATTAATTCTATCCTAATTTAATAAGAGCTCAAATAATATGAAAAAAATATTTTTAGTAAGATTCTCATCTAATATGGGACGGAGAGAATAACAATATAACTTTATTAATGTTGGAGCCGGGCAGCGCCCGGGCTTTCTTTACTAGTATATAGATAAGTGTCAAAAACACACCTAAACTGTATCTTTCTTGAATGATATAATTTTTTAAGAAATAACCGAATGAATAGTCCTATCGATAACCCTAATGTTACTTCTACTCTGTTTATTTTTACTTAAATTTAGAAAGATATGCTTCATTTCTACCCTCAATCTTATCGCTGCATTTATTTGCTATTTAAAATTGAAATTAAAAAGACAAATGACAAATAAGTTTCTATATTAGCTCACTTATGAGCAAAATATATTATAACAATCTTTACTAATTTTATAACAATACATAAACTATACTCCCCTCCGTCCCCATATTAGATGGGCACTTCCAACTTTACACGGTGATTAAGAAATCATTAATACATTGGAAGACTTCACCATTTTGCCCTTTGATTATATCAATGCACATTGAAATGAGTTACAAAAAATACACATACAATATAGGAATGGTCATATTAATTGTAGGGGTAAAATAGAAAAGAATTAATTAATTCTATCCTAATTTAATAAGTGCTCAAATAATATGAAAAAAATAATTTTTAGTAAGATTCTCATCTAATATGGGACGGAGAGAGTAACAATATAACTTTATTAATGTTGGGCCGGGGCAGTGCCCGAACTTTCTTTACTAGTATATAGATAGATTCAAATTAAAAAACTGTAATAAAAGAAATATGAGATTATT